GGTTGAATATAATGCACAAATAAAACTATTATTGGTGATCACTTGAATTATAATCAAATTAACTCTAACAAGATTATTAAATTCTCTTATTAAGCGTGATTACAAGTACAAATTCCCTTTAAACATGCATAAAAGATGTGATCAAGCAATAAAAATAAAAATCAAGCAACATAATAATAATAATAATAAATAATAAATAATCAAAACAATAATTATAACAATCATATTAATCATATTAATAATCATCATAATAACAATCATATTAATCATAATAATAATCATGTTGATCATAATAATAATAGTTATAGCAATAATAAAATTATAATCATAACCAAAACAATTATAAAAATAATTATAAATCATGTTAAAGCATAATAAAAATAGCAAGATCCTAGGCATGATACTAACAAGATTAATAACAAACCCTAGCATGTCACTAAGCGATAAAAATCAAATCTTTAGCCCTAACATGATACTAACAATCATAAATATTAGGAAGAACATAGGAGGCATCGTAACAATCATATTTGATATTAAAAATACCCTAGACATGATACTAAAAACATCATAATAACAATATAAACATGATTTCTACATCATAACATCAATAAATTAATTAAAGTACTTACTTTGATGCCTCGTACCTCTTTCTAATAACAAAATACACACGTTAGTAACTTCAAGTAAAATAATAAAACAAACAATCAAATTAAATAATCGAAATAGAGATTTGGGACCAAACCCTCAGAAATTAAACCTTTCACGTCTAGGGCGAAGGCAACTTCGAATATGGCTAGGTGTTTCTAGATCTTGCGAATGCGGAATTTTGTATTTAAAAGACAAGTATAGAAAAAGAAAGAGAAAGAGAGAGATGGTGAATGATTAAGAAAATCTTGATGAGAATTAGCGAATGATTAAAGAGAATGAGAGAGAATTGAAAACTGGTTGTAGGTGATTATAATTGAAAATCTGGTTGTTGATGAATGAAAACGGAGTTTTTAATACGTTATTTATAGAGAAAATCAGCCAAAAAGATAAAATATCAAAACAGAGCATTTGGCGCACGTTAAACAGAGCTAGCGCCAACGCCAGCTGATTGGCGCCAACATTAGCGCCAGGCGCCAATAGCTAGCGCCAAGCGCCAATAGCTGGCGCCAGGCGTCAATGCCTGGCGTTAGGCGCTAACCCTGTTTTTGACGTGTTTTCTCAAATCAGATAAATTTTGCCGTACAGGAAGATAAAATCGTATCTTTTCCTCAAAAATGTTCTTTGATTTTAATTAAAACTCTGAAAAGTCAACAAAAGTCAATTTATAAATGCTAATTGAATTAGGAATGAAAAGAACCTTCTAGAAGAATCTAGAAGACTAAAATCATTCCTAATTGCATTAGGAATGATAAATCATATTAGGCCCTCCCCTAGATCATTGGGCCGTATATAAGGCTCAAACCGGGCCCAGTTTAGTAAATTGGCCATAACTTCCTCAATATTCATCGGAATTGGGCTTATAATATATCGTTGGAAAGCTCTTGACAAGCCCCATCCAACTACACTACTATTGGGCCCATATCATGGACCAACCAAACTGGATTGACTGTTTTCTTAAAATAAGTTTTCAAAAATAGAGAGAAGAGAAAAGAAATTAAAACTTTCCGCAACACTAAACTTTCCACACTTTATCCTCTGATACATAACAAGGGATATATAAAAAAAAATCACGTACGAATGAACAAATACACATCCTCAGTTTAGAGTAGTATCACTGAGTGATCAAATAGTACCATTGAATATCCAATGGTATTATATGTACATGTAGCGGTACAATATATGCATTCATTAGTACTAAGTAAATACATATATAGTACCACTGGATATGCAATAGTATTTGTTGATTGACATCGAAATTTTGTCAAGATTTAGGTGTGAAATATAAGACATCATCTTTAAGATATTGTATAATATTTGATAGTTATCTTGTTTACTAATCTAAGACACTCTACTAAAGAGGGTCGTTTATAGGGTTTAATAAGGCTCATACGGAATAAGGCATAAAGACCCATCTCCTCCATACAAGGCTCGGATGACAGAAGTCTATAGGTGTATAGTATGGAATAAGCCAAAAAGGCTATGTACTATAAACACATGACAAAACCCTAGATATTTGAAGAGAGGAATCAAGATATCTACGAGAGTTGTAACCTCACAAACTATCAATAAAATCATTGTTTTCATATATTTTTTTGGCTCATTATTTTTATATTACAAGTCTAAATTTTTTTATGGTTTACAAATTGGCACGCTCGGTGGGACAATTTTCACTCTACATCTCAGCTCTCCAAGTTTTAAAATCCATGGAATCAATGGAGGCATCACAAATTTGCTTTCAAATTCTAGTATTCTACAAAAAAAAAAAAAAAAGGTATCCGATGTCAAATCCACAATAGGTCTTGAGGGGGCATTTGTTGACACTAATATTTTTGTTAATATTTAGGTGTTAGATATATGTAAATTAGGAGATAATATAAAAAAAAAGATATTATCTTCAAAATCTCGTAGAATATTTCATAACTATCTTGTTTACTACTCTACTACAATCTATATAAAGAGGGTCGTTTCTAGGGTTTGATAAAGCTTAGATGGATTATAGTCACAAATATCTTATCTCATCCCTACTACCAAACATTATAGGTGTATAGTATGGAATAAGCCAACGAGGCCATGTAATATAAACACGTATTAAAACCCTAGCCTGTTGGGAGAGAATTCTTAGTAAGCTACAAAATAGAAAAAAGATCAAGCAAAGAATACAATAATTGACTTCACTCACACATAATAAGGAAACAAGATGAAAATGAAAAGATGCAATGACAAAGATATCAAAGAATATTCAATAAAATTGTAGCTCATCAATCAATGACTTGATTGGGTCAATCAAGGAGTCAACAATCAATTAAAGATCTTATGAAGACTATGGAATCAATCAAATAAAAGCTAAATCAGGAAATGGGTCAATTGCTTGACGAAATATTTTTCGCGCGGTGGTCCCTAATGAGTACGGACAATACGGACTCAATTGCACATTTAGGAGTAAATCAGTCGCCTTACTGAGCCTTTATGAGAAAGGTAGCTTCCCTTCAAAGCTCAGACCGTTTGAAGACACGTAATGAATGCTTGGGCAACAAGCACAATCAAGGTGCATGATTGAAGGAGCAAATCAAGGAAATATCAATCACTAAGTCAACATTTCCTGAGATATAAAGATGTCAATCAATATTGTCAACATTACCATAACAACGAGGATTCTTCAATATTTACCTTTATTAGACTCACAAATCACTATAAATAGGATGCTCTTTGTAATAGAATTTATTCACACATTCATACATTGCATAATACAATTTACTTCACTTTTATACTAAAATCTCTAATATATGTCGTCTTTACTGACATCAATTCGTCCTTACTCAGAAATGCCTCTCTTATCTCGATCTTTGTTCTTCGATTTATAATTATTATGATTCTATTTATTGCTCTTAACTAATTCATTTGGAGGTTGTGTTTATTTTCTTTTGGCAGATTTGATTATTAAAACCCCATAAAACCTGTAACAAATTCCTAGAAACCCCTTTATAAGATTTGTCCTAAACATAGCCCTTTGAAGAAAGCAAGGAATCAAGAGATATACGAGACTTGTAACCCCACTAACTATCAATAAAATCATTGTTTCCGTATATTTTTTTTCTAGTTCTTTATTTGTATATTCCAGGTTTGAATTTTTATGATTTAAAATATTACATAAATTATCAGTGGTACAATTAAATTGAGTGGTCCTATCATATGATTGCAATCTGACAAAAAAATTATAGGGTTCACTCACTTATCTTTTTCTTTCTCTCTCTTTCATGGTACATGTATTCAACTACATTTCTTTCTATCTCTTTCTCTCTCTTTCATGGTACATGGTACATGTAAATACATAACAATACTCCATTTCTACTTACACCACTAAATCTAAGTACAAGTACAATAAAATGTATTAAGCCAAGCCTAATCTAGTGGAAAGGAGAGCACCTTCCAACCATGAGGTTGGGGTTCAATCCCTACTAGTGATAATTTGGGGGAGTGGGATTCCCTTATCTCCCCCCCCCCACACTTTTCCAAATTGTCTAGCCCATCCACTAACCCGAGTAGGAAGGACTTGTGAGATGTTCCGGTCCAATAGGCTACTTCTCCTTACCAACCCCCCCTCCCCCCCAAAAAAAAGTACAATGAAATGTATATTTATTTTGTTAATAAGAGTTTCATTCACTTTAAATTTGGTAACATACTTGCATGTTCAAGTCATGTCAATTTCGATTCTTGGGGATGTGAATTTTTGTTCCTCTCCCACTTATAGATCTTATTAAAGTATAGACATCCACTGTCCAAGTTAATGATGGTCATTATATTTTTAATTAATCTTTCTCTCTTCCACCTCAGCTCACTCATGTCTCATTTTTATTCCCACTTATGACCATACATACCCATTTATTGCCCTTGAAAATCTAAAAATTAATTGACAAACAAAAAAATAAAAATAAATAAATAAAACTTGTAGTCCAATAAAATCGTGACAAGTGGTGCTAAATAATGTCTTGCCCAACCTTGGCCAAAGGTCATGGGCAAAGCATTCCTCTCTCCTAAAATATAGTGTCTTTTAATTTTAATTTTTTTTTAAAATACTCCCTCTATTTTTTTTTAATTTATATATATATATATATATATATATATATATATATATATATATATATATATATAGTGTGGATCACGTAAAAACAAACCTATGGCTGAAAACTGAAAACGGGCAATTAAGACAATTAGATTACAATCTACACTAACTCAGCAAATCTAACGGTTGAGATTTTCTCCTCTATTTTCATGCTAAATACAGAGTATCTATACTTTCTCTCTCTCCTCCTTCATTTTCCACGTTCTATTCTCTTTCCTCATTCTTTCTCTCTCTTACTTTCCCAATTCTTCTGCAAAATCCATACTCACTTTCAATTACTTTGATTCTTCATCAATTTCTCAGCTCTACATCTATTATCATGTGAGTAATTCGGTTAAATTTTATTTTATTTGATTAATGTCGCTAGTTTGCTTGATTTGAGGTACTTAATTTAGCTTTATGCTTTATGAATTTAGTATTCCGAATTTCATGCGTATTTTTTTGTAGATTGAACTTGATATTTAGCTCCAAATCGGTGTGTTTTGAGTAATTTTGTTTTTGAGTTTTTCGTTTTCGATTTGAGTAATTTTTTTTTTTTTTGTGATTTTCTTCATAATTGTTGTTTTTTGAGTTTTTTTTTTCATAATTTCGTTATACCATTGTTTCTGAGTAATTTTTCAAGTTTTTCGTTTATGATTTTTATTTTTTTTAGTTTTTTGTTTCTGATTTTTGTTTAATTTTGTAATTTGCCTTTTTTTTAATTATCGACTTGATTTGAATTTTTGAGTATCAACTACATTTTCATTTTCATTTTCATTGTTGTAGGTTTGAATGGTATTTTGTTTAACTCTGATTGATTTTAGTTAATTAGGTTTCTATGAGTAATTTTTGCACTTAACTTTGTTGTCATTGTTTAATTTTGTAATTTTTGCATATAATCTATATGCATATTAGTGGAATTTAATCGTCACGTGGTTGAAATGTCGGTTGTTGGAGGCCGAAGGTTATGTTGGAGTCGGGCTTTGGTGGCAGATTGGTGGTTGTTGTGTGGGTGTGAGATGCGACTATAACTGATTTACAATTTGAAAGCCCGACTTTGGTTGTTGGAGTACGAGTCTCAGCTTTTGTCTCGTCGAAATGTAAATAAAACATCCAAAGTTGCTTCAATCACGTGGCTGTTATCAAAAGAACATCATGTGGCTGTTTATTTTGCCATTTATGCATCAGATTTGGTTTCTTGGTTTTGCAATTAGAATTTTTATATTCTTTTCCTATTAATTGCTACAATTGATGGTGTTTGCTTAGGCAGTTGCTCGTGGTGTGGTTCGGGAGTTGCTGCAGCTCGGATTGGTGTTTGGTCAGTGGTGCAGCGACCGAGATTTGGTACGTACGGTGGCGAGCTAATGGTTGCAGCTAGTTGTGCAATTGAGGTGGAGCTACTTGAGTGATAGCCTGATAGGCTTATATATAGTTTGGCATGTGGTGATATAGTGACCTTTAGGTAAATGGTTGTAACCTTGTTTCTATATGTAGTGACCTTTGTGGCTTTGTGTGAATATTGTCAAAATTGTTATACTTTAATATGGGGCTTGTTTGGTTGTCTTTAGTTTTCATGGGCACTCAAAATTCCCATGAATTTCCTTTTAGGTATGTTGTTTGGTTGATATGAAAAACAAAAATGGGGGAAGTCACAATTCATGGGAATTTTCACATCCCACAAAACATGGGAAGTTACTTATCCACCCCCCCCCCTTGGTCATTCACAATTCCCATGATTTACAAATTCCCACATGACAACCAAACATATTTATGTAATTCCTAGGAATTTTGATAAAGGAAGTAATTTCCCATGGGAATTTACTTCCTACATCAACCAAACAAGCCCATAGTTAGCTTTTTTTTTTGTATATAGTGACCTCTGGGTAAATGGTGTCAAATTGATATAAATATCCCAAGTTTATATATAGCTACCTTATTTTTGTACATAATAACCTTAGAATCATGGATACGTTGTAAAATTTGTTTCAGTCAGCCTATTTTTGTATATAGCAATTTTTATGTAAATGTTGTTAGAATTGATATAGTTACCTAATTTTTATATACAGTGACCTTTATGTAAATGGAGTAAAAAACTCAAAGTCGATATAATTACCTTATTTCTATACATAGTGACCTTTATGTAAATGGAGTCAACAACTCAAAGTCGATATAGTTATCTTATTTTTGTATATAGTGACCTTTATGTAAAAATGTTGTCAAATTTGATATAATTATCTTATTTTTGTATATAATGACCTTTGTGTAAATATCGTGAAAATTGATATATTTATGTTTATTTTTATATATAGTGACTTTATTTTTATGTATAGTGACCTTATGTAAATGTAGTAAATTTAGATAAAGTTACCTTATTTTAGTATGTAGTGACCTTAAAACGATTAACTTGATTATATGTAAGGTTGGAAAGATCTTTGGGATTTTAAACCGCCTGATCTTTTGTGATAATATTGAATGGTTGAGATTTGTTGTTTTCAGCTTAAGCCTTGTTTTCAGGGGAACCACCCCGTATATATATATATATATATATATATATATATATATATATATATATATATATATATATATATATGCACTAGTTTGACTTTTGCATTATTCAAATGTCATGTTTGACTTAATTTTTTTGCTACTATATAATAAACAAATGTTATTATATAATATATTATTAGATTCGTCACAATATCTACCTTTATATTATAACTAGATTAGTGCTCGTGCGATGAACGATATTAATAATCTATTTCCCATGATTAATTGTGTTATAATATAAAGATGAGGCAACCTGAGTGGAAAAAACAAATGCAATGCATATTGAAAAATAAAATCAAAAGGCAAAAATTATTAAAGTACAATAGAGCTTAGAAAAAAAAATATATTATTGTTGATTAGTGGTGTTGAAAATATTTAAAAGTTGTACATCCTCCGTTTTTAAATACTTGCTCCATTTCTCTTGGGTACGTATGCCGATGCAAATCTTTAATCAATTTTGTCTTTAATTATTAATAAGTATAAATTCTAACATTTGAAAATTAATAAGCTATTCATTGAGACAATTCCAACAAGTACCCATAAGACTATATTTTTTTCTTATGTATAGATAAAAAACATTAGTCAAAGTAGGATAAATGAATAGTGTTAAAAGTAGAAATGGTGTAAGTATTTAAAAACAAAGGGAGTATATATTATATTACATTAATGATGCATATTATTGCCAATAAAATCAATAATCAATAATAACTTGTAAAACAGACACCAGAAATGACACGTGTCACATCCTGGTGTTGTTTTTTCCCTCCAAAACTCTTCTTTCCTTTTTAACCCTTATTTTATTTATTATTATTAATATTTGATACTATAATAATATTATTCTAAATGTTTTATATTATCTTTATGACAAATATATTCCTTTTTATTTGGTGTTCATAATTATGCTATACACATTACCTAAATAGTTATTCCAACTCCTTTCTAATTATCCTTTAAACGAGTATTATTAGATTTTGCCAAAAAAGTAACAATTAAATTGATTCATAAAATTGATGTTAAAGAAATTCATCACTTAATTTTTTTTTCAAATATCTCTATCGAATATTTTATTTCAATTTCAATATAACTATATATTCAAATTAATTACAATTTTGTTCCTGAAATTTTACTACTATATATATATTTACACTAATTAAGGTTTTATAGAGTATAGTATGACTATAAAATAAATGTCGTGTTTGACAATTATATCATATGTCTAATTCCAAGGAAATGTAAAATGATGATAAACTTAATTATTACACCAAACAGTCATAAATAATTTGCATATAGAAAGACACGCCAAACGTAGTGACAATTGACATATTCTTTTTTTTATTTTATTTATTTTATTATTTTTTATTTTTTTAATTTATAAAATATCTATTACCTACAAATAAACTTTTAAGACAATAAACAAAAATGATCAAACTACAATGATTGGATAGCTTCAAACACATATTTTATAATTAATAACAAAGAATGACAATATCATATAAGTAAAGCATCATCCATAAACAGAAAATGTAATAATAAGATTAGTGTTGCCCAATTATAGATTGTCCTTGCCTTTAATAATCCGAGTAGTATTTATTTTCATTGAAATGATTTTTTTTAAGAAATAAAAGGTGATATATTATTTATAATTAAATATATTTATGTGTATGTTGTGCACTTTTACTAATAGTTTTAGTGGAGATTTTAGTTTGTTGTTTGATTTATTTTTTTATGTTTATTAAAAAGGCTTTTATAAATAAGTATTTACTATTCTCTCTCTAAAAAAAAGTATTTACTAATATGGTCACTAGCTTAGACCTCATTAAAGCAAGTTATGCCTTTGGGCAATCCAAAAAATCTATTTTCGTTTATTTTTTGCTTTGTTCATTAATATATAACAATGTAATTTCTATACATTTGATGTGTATGTTTTATCAAATTCTATTTGTTGGATATAATTAATTTTCTTAAAAAAGTTAGACTCACCGTGTGTGGCATAGGCCTTAAGCTAGTTATACAATTAATCTAGTGACTATATGACTAAAGACTTATTACTAAAATTTACATTAAAACTATTAATACAACATACATGTAAATATATAAATTACAAATAGTATATCACCTTATATCAATAAAATAATTTCAATGAAAATAAATATATCACCTTTATATCCAACATACTTTTTGTATTTATTAAGACATTAATTTTTTAATTATATAATATATATAAAAAAAAATTGATTGATATTTTACATTTTTCTAGAATTAGACATATGATATAGGTTTCAAACACAATATGTATTTTATAGTCATATTTAGTACTCCATTAGTTTAAAAAACAAAATATTAGATGTATTTGAAAATAAATAAATTAAAGTGACATCTAAAGTGATTTCTTAAAGATATCCATTGAGACACTAGGAAGTGACACAATATTCTAAAAATAAAATTAAAAAATTTTGCTAAAATGGGAGGAGTTTTGGAGGAATAAAAAACATCAGAAAGTGACACGTGTTATTCCTGACATTTGTTTTAATATTATGACAGTCAAACTGATGTTTTAAAAAAAAAGCATAGGAAGTATTAATTTACTTTCTCTCATTTTACCCACCTTCAATGGACAACTGTTGGGGTTGCTCTTAGTTTAGCATGGTTCTTTACAATTTTGAAAGAGAAAAAAGAAATGAAACTGCTAAATTATTTATGAGAATATGTTAAATTGAACAAACTCAATTACTTGATTTCCATTGATACGTCCATCGCCAATATATAATACAAGGTTTCCCTAATATGATAAAATTAGGAAATATCACAAAGATCTCAAAAGATTATATTCTAGGTACAAAATGTAGCAACTAAATATTATCATATAATTTCCTAAAATATAATATCCTCAATACCCCCCCTCAAGTTGGAGCATGGGGACTGTAAATGCCCAACTTGGAAAGAAGATGATCAAACTGAGACTTCCCTAGCACCTTAGTGAAAATATCTGCAAGTTGCTCCTTAGTGGAAACATAGGAAGGATCAATTAAGCCCTCTGTAATGGCATCACGAATAATGTGACAATCAATCTCAATGTGCTTCGTACGTTCATGGAAAACTGGATTTTGAGCTATATATAAAGCAGATTGATTGTCACAAAACAACTTGATCGCCTTAGGGTGTTCAACACCCAAACTCAAAAGCAAGGCCTTCAACCATTTCAACTCATGTGTGGTTGAAGACATGCACCGATACTCAGCCTCAGAAGAGGATGTGGCAACTGTAGGTTGTTTCTTGGTTTTCCAAGAAATAGGTGATTTACCAAGGAACACAAGCCAACCTGTCAACGAACGACGAGTAAGAGAACATGCCGCCCAATCTGAATCACACCATCCCTGCAAAGTCAGGTCACTATCTGCACTCAACAAAATACCCTGTCCTGGGGTACCTTTTAAATAACGAACCACCCTAAGAGATGCTTCCCAATGCTCAATTCGAGGCTCGTGCTTAAACTGAGAAAGAATATGAACCGAATATGCCAAATCCGGTCTAGTCATCGAGAGATAAATCAACCGCCCTACCAGTCTACGATAAGACTCAGGATTCTCAAGTAACTCACCACTAGCAAGACTTAGCTTGTGGTTCTGCTCAATTGGAAAACCACTAGGTTTTGCACATAGTAACCCTGCTTCAGAAACAATATCCAAGGTGTATTTTCGTTGACACAAAAACAAACCTGATTTACTACGAGCAACTTCAATGCCCAAAAAATACTTCAAAGGACCAAGATCCTTCATCTTGAAACAATCACCAAGATAAGCTTTGAACACATTTAATGCAGCGGAATCATTCCCTGAAATAATAAGATCATCAACATAAACTAAGACATTAATATGAACATTGCCTTTAGTGTATGTGAAAAGAGAATAATCAGAGTAAGACTGAATGAAACCATACCCTTTTAGAGCCGTAGTGAGCTTTGCAAACC